CATGTTTTATGGATTTAATTAAGAAAGATTTATGAATTTAGTTGATTATTAGACTCGTCACTAATTGTCATATTTTATTTTGTGATTGGCCCCACCAAACCAACTCATACATGAGAACAATTGGAAGAGGAATGATGATAAGGACATGCAACAGCACATATTTATTGCAAACCATTGAAGTTGATATAATCCATATTTAAACATGCTACATTGAACCTTATCTGCAATCCAGTTATCTCTATATTTATTTATATATGAGTTATGTGTCGAGTCCAAATATTCTCAAATGGGTCTTAGAAAAATGAGGATTATTGTACTTGATGCGCCTAACTTGAAGAAAATAAACTTCAAAACCAGAGTCACCACATCCAGCATTTCAGCAGGCATCGCCTTTCCAATGGGCAACTGTAATCCACTTGTTCCTTGCAACTGTAATCCACTTCTAGCTCCCAAATTAATAAATTTATTTGTCCCACTCCCAAGACTAGGAAGACACCCCAAAAACGACAAAATTAAATTTTGTTTAACCGACAAAATTAAATTTTGTAAGCAATCAAACCCTCCTAGCTCACGGGTGCCCCCATCAGTGTACTTTATTTACGAAAAGCCAAAAATGCCCCCTCCTCCCTCCTACTTAAAATAAAAAAGCCCTAAACGATTCAATTTCTTTCCTCTGCTCCAACCCTATCACTAATTGACAAACGACAGAGCTCGTCCCTCTCTTGAACCTCTGACAGCCTTCTGCACCACCACCCTCCCCTTGAAAGTACCCTAGAGGGGGGTGAATAGGGTAATTGTTAATCTCATCCGTTATTGATGCCAAATTAAAATTTATTAACTAATATCCTAGCAAATATGATATACAACAAGTTATGTGCAAGGATATGCAATAATACACAATATGACAAATAGGCGATATAAACAATGAGCACAAGATATAGGAACGCCAATGCCAAACACAAACAAACAATATGATCACGCAGTTCGGTCAACCATCGACCTACGTCTCTGCTCCTCACCTCGAGGAGATTCTCCACTATATCTCAAATAACTACACAATTCGGCTTAAAAAAACTCACCAAAAACTTTTAGAATCCACAAATTGACAATCACACAATACACTTCTCTAAGTGTTGGCCGACCCATGTCACATTCCTTAAGTGCTAGGAATTACTACCTCTCCCTAGGCTTTTACAGCTAAGTCTCTCCTCTTGGAATTGACCATGTTCTTCTCACAACCACTCTTCTAAGTATCATTGTGTATTACAACATGTTCTCAACAATTAAGTACAAATAAAGGATTTGTTCTCTAACAAGGATGATAACAAAATGTTAGCTCACTTGATGAATCACTCCCACAACCCAAATAAACTATATGTGAAAATACTTAAGCTCAAATGGTTGTCTGTGAAACAATAAATAAAAATGAAATTAAACTCAAATAAATCTAGCTTATGAATGAGAATCAAAATATAAATTTGCTAGAAGAAAAGAGTTTAAGAAAACTTCTCCAATTGAACAAAGAGGTGTAGTTATGAAGATTTGAGGTTGAACGCCTCAAAACCGAAATTGAAATCCTCCTCTTTGTGAAACTTTCTTCACATAAACAAAACACACTCAAAAACTCTTTAAATAAGCTGGCAAAACTATTTTATAAACATTCTTGATCAAACAAAATGAGTTATGAGGCATATATATAGTCTCTCTAACAAAAACAGCTCAAAACTAGTCGCTACTATGCAAACTAGCCGTTATCGGCCGACTGACACTGTTCATGGGTCGACTGATAACTGAAAAGACTGAAAAGTTGCTTTTGTTCGGTCAAATGATGAACAGTGTCAGTCGACTAAAAATATTGTTCACGGTCGACTGAAAACATGCATAGACAAAAATAAACAGTGTCGGTCGACTGATGAACAATATCGATCGACTGAAAACATTGTTCACCTGAAAATCTGATTTTGTAAAATTAATTAAAAATAACAAATCAAATCTAAAAATAGTAAAACTTGGGTAAATATTTATATACATGAAAATAAACATGTTAAAGAAGAAATTTTTAAATATCACTTCCCATTTGTGAAAACTCATCTGGTTTGCTAAAACAACATGAAACCCGAAAAACTAATTTTCTAAATTTAATTAAAAATAACAAATTAATTCCAAAATTAGTAAAACTTAGGAAAATATTTATATACATAAAAATAAACATGGTAAAGAAGGAATTTCTTGAATCGCATTTCCTAATTGTGAAAACTCATTTATTTTGCAGCCGTTAAAAAATACGAAAAACGTTAAAACTTGATTTTGATGAATTCATTCCAAACAAGTTTTAAAATACATTCTAATAGATTTATAGACTTGAGAAAAGATATAAAATCATGTCGTTATGTCTATAATCTAAAAATGGCAATAAATTAAAAATTAATGTGTGTGTGCATGAATTTTGAGCTTGAAGTATAAACACACAAAGTAAACACCTAACCTACAAAACTATACCCAAGATAAAAATCTTCATTAAGCTCATCTTGGTTGCGGGGATGAAGCGATAATGTCTTTGGCTAGAATTATGACGGCTTCATTCCAATTTTCACCAACCTCCTTTGAATGTAATCATGAAAGCGCAAGTCCATCCAACCTCTAACTGAGGATCTTTGTGTAGAATACCTAACAAATAAAATCAAACACTCAACAAACGATGTTAAAAATTGTTTGCTAATCATCAAAACTAGATTAGACAATAGGCTCATGAACATGAGACCTAACACACCTCCCCGACTGTGGATTCCATAATAGTAGGAGCAAGAGAGCATGGGATCTTCATCGGTGACGGCGGTAAACTAGGCCCGTTGATTTTAGAGATGGGAGTCGAGGTCCCACTTGAATTTGAGTTGGCTAGAGATCCAGGCGACGGTGGCTCGTTGGGATTCTCGCCACTACTCGTAGAGTTTCAAGAGCTTCTTAGGAGTTACAAAAATCAAGAAACTCATGAAATGAGATTTTATTAATTTGAGTGGATTTTGTGTAAAGTTGAGGAATAACATGATTTGGTGAAGGAGTAGTTGAGGAGGGAGAAGCAAGAAAGGAAACTAATGGCATTGGGGAAGAAAATCTTGATGGAGGTGGGCATGAGAAGAGTTTGGTTTCTTCTTCCTCTTTGTTGGCCATGGTGGATTCTTGATATTTGGATTCATGTCTATGTTCTTTGATTAAGATTTTCTCCAAAAATGGTGAGATTTGAACTGTTTATGTGTGATACGGGTGTAACTTCTTCTCTATTTCGGGAGCTTAGTGATCCTCATAGGAGCTTGAGGATAGACGATTCTCATGGTATATTAAGAATAGAGGCGTGGATGAAGCCGTTGGTGGCGGCAAAAGAAGCCAAAAGCAAGAAGACAACAAAATCAGGGAACTGGCGCTCAGGCTCTGGCCGATCGACCCGACCAAGCTGGTCGGCCGACCGGATTTGTGCACACTACAAGGTGATGAATGAGTCCTCTAGCCGGTTGACCGCGACACACTGGTCGGTCGACTGGACGTATTTTTGCCTGTAGAG